ACTGCGACTCGACTCTTGCAACCACAAATAGGTGAGTACACACATACATATACGTGTATCATTTTTCCCACTCTGTCTGTCTGTCTGTCTCTGTCTCTCACCCTTTTTATATCTAGGAATCTTATTTGCTGTCAATACTGCTGGAAGTACGTGTGTGTGTGTGTGTGTGTGTGTGTGTGTGTGTGTGTGTATATACACATACATATGTGTATATGGTACCATAGCATCAGAAAGTAAGCACACTCCTTCACATACAAGTCACAACATCCCAACTTCAAGATAACTCTTGTCAGGTCAGGAAGATCACAAAAGCAATCAGATACACCTGGGTATCTATTGTGAAAACGTTTTTCTCCACAGTGGCTTCATCAGTCCAATACAAAGTAGAATAGTGAAGATCCAAATGAGTTTGGGGTTATCAGTACCTCAGCCTGGAGGCGATAATGACAGTTCACTGTAACGATAACCTTAAGATATTACGTAGGTTTATTTATATATTCAATTTACTCGACTCAACGTCTGTCAAAATAATTGCAATTGCAAAATAGCAATTAGAATTTAAGATTGAACTTTAAACGTTCATTGTGACTCTGACTTTATTTTGGTAAAGGCTCGGTTACCTGGAGGTGTTCCGGGGGTCAACGCCCCCTCGGCCCGGTCCATGACTAGGCCTAGCGGTGGATCAGGGCTTAATCAACTTGGTTGTTACTGCTGGTCACACGTAGTCAAACATAGGAACCACAGCCCGGCTGGTCAGGTGCTGACTGTGTCTTTCCAGCTCCCTCTTGAAGACAACCGGGGTTCTTGAAGACAACCGGGGTTCTTGAAGACAACCAGGGGTTCTTGAAGACAACCAGGGGTTCTTGAAGACAACCAGGGGTTCTTGAAGACAACCAGGGGTTCTTGAAGACAACCAGGGGTTCTTGAAGACAACCGGGGTTCTTGAAGACAACCAGGGGTTCTTGAAGACAACCGGGGTTCTTGAAGACAACCAGGGGTTCTCTTATGTACACTGAGAGGTGAGATTAAGACACATGTGCAACATCTGGGTATCTTTATTGTAGACGTTTCGCCATCCAGTGGCTTTATCAATACAAATTCTAGGACATAACTTGAAGACAGTAGAACTATGTACAGAAGATGAGGTAATCAGTCCCTCAACCTAGGAGTAGGTGCGAACAGCACCATAGTCGTGGAGATTCTGAATCTCCACGACTATGGTGCTCTTCGTACCTACTCCTAGGTTGAGGGACTGATTACCTCATCTTCTGTACATAGTCCTACTGTCTTCAAGTTATGTCCTAGAATTTGTATTGATAAAGCCACTGGATGGCGAAACGTCTACAATAAAGATACCCAGATGTTGCACATGTGTCTTAATCTCATCTTGTCGGTATTATATACCATTCGTACACACATGAGAGGTGTATGTTTCTCATTGAGTACACAAGTTATCATATATATATATATATATTTATATATATATATATATATATATATATATATATATATATATATATATATATATATATATATATATATTAAACTATATTTATTTTAAATTCTCCTAAAGAAAAAATATGTAATTATTATTTTCTTAAAACAATTCAGTTTGATAAAATTGCCTTAAAAAATTGGTCCAGAATTAATGCAAAAACAGTTTCGATTAAGGTACGACAACGTCCGGGGTTTCAAGTCGTTCTGGAGAGACATTCTCAAGTTTTTTTGCAGGAGAAACTATTTAGTAAAATTAGTAAATCGAAATTAACACAAATCAAAAGTGAGTTCCAAATTTCCTATTAATTGAGGCCCAGCCACGTGGAAAGTTTGAAACCGATCAGAAAATGCATTTTCCAGGTAACTGATCTGATTCCAGTGCACCTGTCCAGACTAGACTTATGGGACACCATCCATCTTATAGAATATATCATTAAAGGTTTGAAGGCTGCCGGAAGAAGTTCTTTAGCTATTCATTATAAATGTCAGTATTTATTCAAGAATATTGGTAGTTTGTGATGTGTGTCGCCCAGTAATTGATACAACTTTATGCTCAGATTAAACTTGTTGTTAAAGCGGCTAGTTTATTGTACACACCATATCCATTCTGTGGAGGGCAGCGCAAGAGCGTATGGATACACAAAAGGCCTAGGAACTAGACCTCCAAAAGGGTTAACAGGAACACATCTGTATTTTTATCTACAGTTCACTTATCTGTTGTAAGCAAATTTAGGAAATTTACTGATTATGTCTGATATCCAATTTCCATTAATTAGATATATCGTTAAGACACTTGTACAACATCTGGCTAACTTTACTGTAGACGTTTCGCCATCCAGTGGCTTTATCAATACAGATTCTTGGACATAATTAAAAAATAGAAGAACTATATACAAAAGATGAAACAATTAGTCCGTCAGCCTTGGAGGTGATGTTTACAACACCGTGGTTGTAGAGATTCTGAAGCACAGGTAAGGAGACTGGCGCTTATATAGGCGTCAGTGAATAGGGACGTGTGGCAGACGAGGGCATAGTCACATAGTGCCGGGGATCGACCCCCGGACCTCAATGTGTGATCTGAGTGCGCTACCAACATAGCTATGGCCATAGGGGACGTGAGCACACTGTTCCAAGAATGTGGCCCTATTTACCGTACAAAAGTGTTGAAAGTTTGATGTCGATTAGATGAGACGTTCTTGAGTTATGAGTGAATCAGTAAACATGGTGTAGTAGATAGTCTTTTAACCCTGTTAACCCACCAAACTCATCTGCTAAGTGAACCTGTGACTGTGAGACAGTTGAACACTCCTGTACAGATGTTCAGTATTGTGCAACATGCATGTGTCAACTGCTCTTTCCAACATGAATGTGCGAACAGCTGTTTCCAACATGCATGTGGAAACAGCTGTTTTCTGTGACGTGACTGAGGAAATCAGTCGTCAGTAGTAGGACTGACGACTGCCTGGCAGCAGACACAAACAGACTTCAACGTTTTGACAAACAGACAAACATTGCTAATCTTAAAATTGAAAAAACAAAACACACAAGTTGAACATCCATCAATATTTATAATTGATCAAAAAAAAAATCGGAAAAAATCGCCAATTTGTTTTTTTGTTTTTTCTTGTCGATAAAAATCAATGAATTTTTATTTATTGTTTTGTTTGCGCAACAAATGAACATCAACGCTGCAACTTTTTTCCGAAAATGTTTTAATTGACTTTTTAATGGTTTATTATTATTAATTGTTGTTATTATTATTTTATGATCATTATCATATTATTATTATTATTATTATTATTATTATTATTATTATTATTATTATTACTATTATTATTATTATTATATTTTTATCGTTTTTATTATCATTATTATTTTATTATTATTAAATAATTCACTTAATTGTGTTTGCAGGGGTCGAGTCACAGCTACTGGCCCAGGTCTCTTCTGGTTGCTACACGGTTCACTTCTGGCTATGTGAACCCTCTCTTACCTATTCTTCAAGCTGTGTATGAACCCTTCCTCTACCACCTCACTCTACACTTTCTTACCACTCTAAGGCTAAAGAAGTACTTCCTAACGTCCCTATGAGTTACTTGTGCTTGAAACTACTTTTGAAGCTAATTTTCAATTTGCCAGTTTGGTGTTTGCTGCAGCTGTTATTGGGTTAATGTGTACCTCACGTGATATGCTGGGGGTTAAATTCCAATAGCCACTTGCCAGACTAATCCTGCAGCTTGTTCAGATCCATTTGTAGTCTTTTCTGTTCTCTCTGTTTGTATTCTCTTTAGTGTCACATCGTCTGCTTACAGACACACACCTGACTCGAGTTTGTCTCATACACAAGAAACAGTACTGGTGCAAGCACCGACCCTTGTGGAACCCCGCTCATCTTTGTCATACACAAGAAACAGTACTGGTGCAAGCACTGACCCTAGTGGAACCCCGCTCATCTGTGTCATACACAAGAAACAGTACTGGTGCAAGCACTGACCCTTGTGGAACCCCGCTCATCTGTGTCATACACAAGAAACTACTGGTGCAAGCACTGACCCTAGTGGAACCCCGCTCATCTGTGTCATACACAAGAAACAGTACTGGTGCAAGCACTGACCCTAGTGGAACTCCGCTCATCTGTGTCATACACAAGAAACAGTACTGGTGCAAGCATGACCCTTGTGGAAACCCCGCTCATCTGTGTCATACACAAGAAACAGTACTGGTGCAAGCACTGACCCTTGTGGAACCCCGCTCATCTGTGTCATACACAAGAAACAGTACTGGTGCAATAACTGACCCTAGTGGAACTCCGCTCATCTGTGTCATACACAAGAAACAGTACTGGTGCAAGCACTGACCCTAGTGGAACTCCGCTCGTCTCTCAGTGTGTAAACACTGAGAATTTTTTTTAATTACAATACCAGGTATTAAAGTTTTCTTTATTGGTGTATAGGTGATATACACAGGCTTGGTGTGTGGGTTAGCAGTGCTATATTGCAGACTTGGTGTGGGTTAATAGTGCTATGTTGCAGGCTTGGTGTGGGCTAACAGTGCTATGTTGCAGACTTGGTGTGGGTTAATACTGCTATGTTGCAGGCTTGGTGTGGGCTAACAGTGCTGTGTTGCAGACTTGGTGTGGGTTAATAGTGCTATGTTGCAGGCTTGGTGTGGGTTAATAGTGCTATGTTGCAGACTTAGTTTTGAGTTAATAGTGCTATGTTGCAGGCTTGGTGTGGGCTAACAGTGCTATGTTGCAGACATGGTGTGGGTTAATAGTGCTATGTTGCAGGCTTGATGTGGGTTAACAGTGCTATGGTGCAGGCTTGGTGTGGGCTAACAGTCCTACGTTGCAGACTTGGTGTGGGTTAATACTGCTATGTTGCAGGCTTGGTGTGGGTTAATAGTGCTATGTGCAGGCTTGGTGTGGGTTAATAGTGCTATGTTGCAGGCTTGGTGTGGGCTAACAGTGCTATGTTGCAGGCTTGGTGTGGGTTAATAGTGCT